TAAAGAGAAAATATAAAATGTTCATCATCTCCGATTATATGTTTTTATAATTTTTTGCACCCACCGCTTCCACAGTTTGGAAAACTCGAATAAGATTCTTTCCAGCCAATTTTTCCAAATCCTCCTTGGTCCACCTTGGCTCTCCCGCACGACTTTCATACAAACGATCGAACAAATCGGGATACTTGGAGACATCTTCCAATCCCACTGGCATTCTGATTAATTTCATCAAATATATTTAGCCCTTTATTCGTTGACTCATCGTGTAATAATTAGGAATAAGTACGTTACAGAATCGATGTAACTACTTACGAGCTTACACCGTCGTAATCTCCGCCGATACCAACGTGGTCCGGTCCGATAAGATTTCGTATATGATTTATATGTTCTAAAAATGTATCAATATACAATTAATCAAAGCGATGCTGATATCGAATAAAAGATTAATAACGTATTAATCACGTGTCCTAGAATTGATTGATAATAAAAATTTAAGGATCGCAATGGATCTAAAAATACTATCTATATATCATTTCATAAATAAGGTTACGTTTTCGTCATCATATATATCATATATATCTTTAACTTTTAAAAATTGTCATGCAAGAAATTTACAAGATAAATTTTTATCTTTTTAATTTTGAGAGTGAATCCCAGACAGCACGCTCAAAATCAAGGTATAGAATTCCGATTTTGGACACGTTACTGTCTGGGATATGTTATGTTGCGTGATTGAAAACAGTACTTATGACATCCTCCATCGTTGCGTTCCTTGAAGAATTGCAGTTCACAAAGTCGCTGTAGAAGTTTACCATAACGACACCGTTGTTCTTTTTCTAAAAGAAAGAACGTGCTCGTGTAATTTATGCAGTTCTACTGGGGAAAATTTTTGCGAAACTGAATGTCGAGGGCACTCACGACTAAGTGCAGGACATCATCGGGAACGTTTCTGTAGTGGTTGCATATGCTGAAAGCGGACGAATGCGAGAATATGACGGGAGCCCTTGTTATTGCGAGCACTTCCCGCATGACGTTGTGAGAGACGTGAGACAGATCGACCATCATTCCAATTCGGTTCATTTCGTAAACCATCGCCTGTAATTCATAAAGCACCAATATTTACAGCCGTTGAAATTTTCAATAATTGGGCCATTTCGTTTGATGCGACGCGCGGTTAATAAGCGATTAATAAGCGATAAAAGTTGTATGGATTTCGAAAGCTATAGTTGTATAACGTAAGAAGCACAATAAAATATTTATTTTTATTTAATCAATCAATGACGTTTTTGGCTGATCGAACTTAAATGTATCTTATCGATCTCGGTGATGTGTCTATGTCGCCCGATTATATCACGAGCGCCATTTGGTATCAATAAGTCCAATCAATTTTGCCATCTCATCATAATTATCAAGATACACTCATAATAATTCCGGATTTTCATATGAGGATACAAAGTGAAAGTCAGAGCGTGACATCAAATTTAAAAATAGCAACGATAATTTCAAAAATTCTCGCCATACCTGCCCGAATTCCGTCAAATTGTATACATATCCATCATCCACGGTTGACGCATCGGCCCTGTCAAAATAAAGATAAAACTCATCATAGGTTTAAAATTAAATCTTATTTTTGATAATTAAGAGATAAATCTCTACATTTCCGAACATAAAACGCTTCTAGCGCTTGCATGTAAATTATCAAAAATATCGTTATCAGTTATCGAAGGAAAGATAAGAATTTGTCAAGTTCGCGTGTGGGATCATGATCACGTGATCATTTTCGCATCACGCAATTTGCATCTCCAGGGATGCCTGAATAGCATAGGGTATTAATAGGATACCTAATGTAATAAGCAAGAGAATTCTGCGTGCGCTATTATACACGCCTCACCCGTGCAACGTACCACGGTGTGTTGCAGGTGTGAGTCAGGGTAACGTAACGAACCCCGAGGTCATAGTAGAGCCTCAGAACCGCCAGGCTCGAGTCGAGGGAGTGACCACCTTCGACACCTATCATGGACGCTATTTTGCCGCTCCTCCATGTCGGCTCAATATCCCCCGCGGCGGTGACGAATTTCAGATTATTCGGATATCGCCGAATGAATCTCCGGATCACGTCGATCTGCCGCAATGTCAGCTGTAGGGAATCCTTGTATTGCGACGAGCAATCCACGTACGCCACCCAGAACTGAAAAATCGCGTGATTCGTTATTTTTGCACGAACGGCAGATAGGATTATCTCCTCGGTAGGAAGCCCCGCGATAGGGGGCTTAATTCTTCGCGGAGAGGTTGAGATAATGATCTTCTCTTGCGGGCACGCAGCGAAAAATGAAGTGGCGAACAAAGGCGGAGAGGAAAAGAAGATGGTGAAAGGGGAACTTCTCGGATTCAAGGGAAACGCTCGAGATAAAATGACTAATCTATTAATTGTGGAGCAAACAGGTTGCGCGGCTCTTAGATAATTAATCTTGGTGAGTATGGACCTCTCATGCGAGATCTCGTGACTCACCTGTCCACCCACTTTTCCCTTAGTCAGACGTGGCAGATCGGTGTAACACGACGAACAGGCGGTTTTTCCCCAGATGCCATCGTTGCTTAAATCACTTTCGAAACGGAAGGCCGATAAGTGATTATTCAACTTCCCATAGAGATTGTACGGTAAATCGTTGTGGCTGTAAATACAATAATCACAGATAAATTTAGCTGATCGAGAGAAAAGGGGAGAGGAGAAGCATAATAAGGTGCAGATGCGATAAGAGCCTGTTGAGAGCGTATGTTGCACATGATAATATTAATTTGTTCGTTCGATTTGTATTTTATACAAAATTATAAGAAGTAATTGTTTTTAGACGCTAATGTGTAATATTTACGTCAACGTTAAGTCAATTTGTGAAAACATTTGTACAAACGTACAAAGAAGACGGAATACGTAAAATATTAATGCGTAGGTGAATGAGTTTTTTTGATCGTCAGCCAATTAAAGAGTCAATCAATAACATTTAATTCAGTCATTGATCCTCGATTGACGTAACTCTTTAGAATTTGGGAATTACCCAAAATTATCGGTCAACATCGCTGTGTTAAATGATATCGATCGAAATTAAGATATCGAAGTCATTTGTTTTCTTATCGACACGCCTCTTCGATTGTACACGATTAAATTACCCATCGATAAGAGGCGCCGAGTCAAGAGCATCTCGCCCTTTAAAGGTGTTCACGCTCAGACCCACGGATAATCCGATCACAAGCAGAAGAACCGACAGGCAAACGGCGACGTTAATGTACACCATTTTTCCCGTGCAATATTTATAATAAATGTTGCCTGAAAAAGGGACGAAAAAAATTAGAATCTTGGTCTAATTCCTAATTACTAATAGTAACAAAAGAAACTGATTGTGAGTAACATTAATCGAGCCTAAGCATGTAACGTAATTAAACTATAGCTTTTTCTCAAAACGTTTTGGAATGTAGCCTAAATATCGTCGCGATGATGGAAAAGTGTCACAAGTCAAAAATTAGCATTTTTGAAAGAAAATCGATCCTAAAAACTTCAAAATCAATTTTTGCTTTCATTATCTCAAAAATGCTAATTTTTGACTTGTACTATTTTCCAATCGACGCGACGTTATGTAGTTGATTGATATAAAATTGTAAATAAAATAGAAATAACAATATTGATTTTAATCGGGTAAAATATTTAGTAGAGAGTACGATGATTAAGTAAGATGAAAAATGAATATTTGCTGAAACCAAAATGCGTCAGGTGTCTCATTACCATAACAAAACATTTTTCGCCATCTGTATTTATCGATCGCTCTGAAATACAGAGGAAATGGAATCTTTCCAAAGCTGCGCACATACACAATTCAACGGAGCGTTTATCTTTTGTCGTAATTCTTCGTGGTGTATTCATTCGACAGATGAATGATAAACACTGTTGACTCGTTTAAAGCAGTTATGTCGGATAAGTGTTAGTTATTGACGGCTATTGATAATACATGAGAAAGCACCATGGTTCAGTCATTGTTTAGAATATGCTCTTGTAATATAACGCTTGACAATTGAATATAAATGAATATATATGAATATATATAAATATAAAAGCATAAATCGGTAAAACATAATTTAATTTGTGATACGTAACAATTTAAATAACGCCAAGAACTTTTGGACTGTCATGTTTATATTTTCTTGAGCTGCTATGTATAAGATAGTTTCGAATCAGTCATATAAGGAAATATATAAAGATATAAGGTCGAAAAATTAGTAATAAACTGTTAACGATGTTACATTGGGCAAAGAATTTTTTATTATAATATTATTACATAAAATTCTTATATATATTAATTAATTTTTTTTGTTAAATTAGAAATGTAATAAAATTTCTAAGAAATAGGCAGAATGTAACCAAAGAATCGAGAATTATTATACGTCGATAAATAGCATCGGAAATATATATGAAAGAAAAACAGGCATTTGTAGACATTGTAAATACTACTTCTAATGCAATATTTGATGATTACTTGAAATCTTGATCGAGCACTCGTGCCGTGATCCTCGATAAGCCTGATAGGCGGGGAAAAATTGCGGCAGATAACTCAGCAAAATGACAGTGATACTTATCTATCGCAATACAGCTTGTTATAATTGTTAAAATATCTTATCATCGCTATTTCGTTTTTTTCCCAATTCAAAGAAGATAAATCTTTGAAGAATTAAAATGCCAAAAATTTAATTTTGTTCAATAACATAGTATTATCATAAAAAATACACAGCCCGAAAGAAGAAACTTGATTGACATTCATTATTATGCGCGCATCGTGATTCTATGAATTTGAGCATGTCCTATAGCAAGTATGCTTACAATGTAAGAAAAAAAATTACCAGTATGTCCGATGTTATCACGTTGTCCAACTGGAGAGATAAATCGAAGCCTGCTAAGACTTTATATATATGTATATATACATTTACACGTATTTTGGTACTCATTGCGAGTAGATTATCAATTGTAATTAAGCATATCAAAACAAACATATCATAATTAAATATTTATTTAAATTGTATTTATTTAAAAGGTATCGTAATGAAGTCTATTTGTTTCGCTTGTGTGAAAAGTTAATCGCGCGTTAATTGGAATTAATTGAATTTTGGATACATCGACTCGACAATAAGAACCAAGATAAGAAAATTTACAAATATGAAACGTCAGTTTATTGCACAAAAAAATTTCCATTGCGCGTTTTCACACTTTTTCATTTCAACGTGAGGGACGAGCAAAACCGCAAAATGAATACATTTACATTTAATTACATTACTTAACAAATCGAATTTAAAGTCCCCGCGAAGTTGAGTATTTCTCTTTTTAATGTCACAGATTTGTATACATATGCGATGATTTTATTACACTTAATCATTTTATTAATTTATTACTCATCAAGATAAATAAGATGGGTCACAATAACGCAGTAAAATTTTGTAATGACAAAAATCCAATTCCCGGTATCTTTTAACGTTATTACGCGCGTCCCAAATTGTTATATCTGTTAAAATATTTTTATCGGACACTATGGAGCAATGCGATAAGTACTAGATTTACTAGATTCACCCATGCCGAACGTAGCGAAGAATTCCCCCGGCGGTGATGAGATCAAGCTGTGTACTGTTGCGAGACGACATCGCCTTGAAACGCACTTAACGTGTGTTTCTACTGTACATACACATATCTACGTGACGGAACGACAGTAATACATTAGCTTATAATAGGTACCTGCTACGTTTGATGTCTCGCTCTAAGAGCGATAAAGCTCAGTTGCGTCTAACATTCGGGACACTCCTGCAGCAACACGACGAAAATTATCTCTCTCTGTTTTTGTCTTTTGTCTTTGTTTGTCTCACTGTAAATTCCTTAATGCACGCTATTACATCTGATAACTGAACTGATAATGAACTGAAATTAACGTTGAAATTTTTTAATTACATAATAGACGCGTACACGCGAAATGTGTGCGTTCATGTTTGATTTAACTGACTGCAGACGGTCGTGACCGGATGGTGTCTGATGCAATCGTCAGCTGGACGTATATATTTTATCAGTTATTTCAGATAAAATGTCAATCACTTCCTATTTTATGTGTTGGCATTGATTAATTTTTTTAAGGTCAAAAGTGACGTATATTTTTTATAGACATGTCATAATTGGTGTAAGATACGGTTTTTTCTAGTTGCAGTATTGCAAATTGAATTCATCGAGATATTCGATTGAAATGTTATTGCTCCCTGTATTTTTCTGTAAGTTATCAGTTATCATGTTATTGCTCATAAACAAATAAATTAATTTTTATAGAAAAGCACACTATATAGCGTTAGATAAGCAAATATAGCATTATCTGCTGTTCTTATTCGGATGTATTAAAATACGCGAAATATCCTCAAGTAAGATATTTTTATAAATATCTTATATTGTGCATGTAAGTATAAAAAATTATAGTTTCTTAGTGTGGAAGTTTTGTACAATTTTTATTTTATATTAAGCTATTCAAAAAATGTATGGAAATCTATATTGTGTTTTTTTATTAAGTAAAAATTAAATAAAATGTACCATAACGTAAAAGAAGTGAATAAAATCGGTTAGCGACTAGTGCTAATATATCGACAACATTCTTCAAGTGAATATAGAACAATTAAGCTGTTTGCAAATAATGTAAACGACAGTATGATAACAAGTAATCAAAATACCTGCCTTATCGTCAAATGATAATTTGCTTCTGTATAAAACCTAGAGATGGCATCGAGTGCCTTGTTTAGGAGATGCTTCCATCTGACGAGCCGTAAGCTTAAATTTCTATTTGATTAACAAATCATAGCTAATTTCTATTCTTAGTACATCTTAATTATAAAAATTATTATATTATAAAATATATAAAGTAAAATTCTCGTTATCTTTAATAAATTATAGAAATAATATATCATAACAAATATATATCAGAATAACATACACCCAATTTCGTAGAAATATTTCATTAATAAACTTGAAAAGATGACAATAAATAGATAAAAATTTAAGATAAATTTTTATGTATAAAATACACATTAAATGTTTTAAATTCAACATATATGTTTTATGCTTACTTAATATGCAACATCAAAATAATTGGGTCAAATGAGTATTCCTCGAAATTTTCTCAAAGTGCAGTTTGCTTCGAGCTTAAAGCAAAATAAGATTAGAAAAGATTAGGATCTCCGGCAATTTAATACTCTACATAAAAGTTTCCTCGGAATTGACACACATTTTACATACAATTTACTGCATGCACTTTTTTGGAGTCAACTAATATAGATAGAAAAAAGCGCGAAGTTTGCCGCATGAAAAACGGAGATCCGTCAAGATTAAAATGTTGTTAATGCCTTACACGCTTTATGGCGTGTATATTAACTTCTGCGCCAGATGAAGATTTCGCAGTAATGTCAGAATATTCTTTGGATTCTTTAGAGAACGTTAAGGATGATTGCTTGGAGAAACGTATCTCTATCAATAGTGATAATAATAATAACCTGGGAACAGTCAAATCCGATGACAGATCCGTCAAGAATGCTTTATTTCAACTGAATTCTTTATTAACAGCATCACTCCAGATTAAAGGTAACGAAAATCGTTAAACTAAATTTAATTTTAGAGAATTTAATTCGGAAAAAAAGGATTTAATAATAATGCAATAAAACATCAAAAATATTTTCGACACAAAATTTCACCTTTTGGAGAAAACAATATTTTAAGAAGATTAATTCTATCTCAGGTGTCAAATTAAAGCCGCGAATTGAAAGGCAAAAGAATAGCTTATGATGTATAATATATGTCGAGATTCACAAATAATGTGAGATTTGTTTGAAGTTTTCATATCTCTTCAAGATTTTTCGAAAGTAATGCTCGGAAATTAAAATTCCGTATTATCGTGTTACATTGGAAACGGCTCTCGTTTCTCCTCGTTAACAGGAGATAATTGCGCGCGAGAGCACCCATACGCGGCGCGTAAACAATAAAAAGACAAAGATAGAAGCGGACGAGAGACGATCCGCGTAATGCGATTCGATTCGCTGTAATCCGGAAAGTCGCGGCTTTCGACGACGGATGGACAGATAACGCGCGCTAATTAATTAATGATCGTAGCGCGCACAGTGCCGTCGACGTAGTGGCGGCGGCGGTCGTCGGGAAGTCGATCGAAAGTTGGACGGCGCGGTCTGAGAGCTCGCGGAAGCGAAGGGGGCGATCGATCGCCTCGTTAACGACAGTACCAATTATATAATATAAAACGTAATATCTGTGGCCGATTCCCATCCCCGGTCGTTCGCGGTAATGTAAAACTCCGAGGGATAATTAAAGCGACGGACAAAGTTATAGGTGGGATAAAGTAGCGTGGGCGGTAACGTGAATGGCAAGAGGAAATCCGCTATTGATTCTAGCGGGAGAAATTCCCGGGAAAGGGGTGAGAGAATAAGAGAATTTTATTATGTTCCGGGCGAAAATATGTTGGAAACGTTAAACGGTAGAATGTTGAAATGAAGAGAGTCGTTAGGAGAAGAAGACACGTTATTGTCGCATAAGTTGATAGAATTTTAGTGCCATGCACGCGGACGTTAATAAATGAAAAAATTACACGGATACGAATTGCGTTAATTGCAAAGATGTTGAAAATAAGAAAAGCGTCTGTTTCGCAATAATGAGTTTATTTAGCGCTCTTCTGTAAATATGACTCTGGGGGCAAAAAGCGCATTCTAATCACGCACATTCTGCCGACAATCTTTTAGACAATACGACGGGGGCCAAGTGCACCGTACGTGAGGACAGGTGCACGAGCACAACCGGCGGCAGGAATTCGATAATTACGAACGGAGGAGGATTCGCCCGACGACAACAGGAATGCCGCGCGACTCGGGAAGAACCGTGGCTTTGCATAAGAAAGAGGGACGACGTCGGGGAACGGCATACGGGAGAAGGCGATGCGAGTCGTCGTCGTTGTCGCCGTACGTCAAGACCGACGACGATGGCAACGTCGACGACGACGACGACGACGACGACGACGACGACGACGGAGCGACGTCCCCCGGGGGTGCGAAATTCTTCGTCAAAATGTCTGCGCGACAGCGGGGGCGGTATGAGAGCCGACAAAAAACTCGGCAACGTTCTCGTACCATGGATCCGGGGACCGGCCAGGACCACCTCGTATTCGGAGCTTCACCGTCGTAGATTCAGTTAGTCTCTAACGAGATCAGACTCCCTCCTTCGTAACATACGCGGAACAATGCCGAAACGCGCGCTGTCATCCTCCCCGTCGCACCCGCCGCCGTCGGCGGGCTCCCGATAAAAAGGACGAGGCAAAGCGATGCAATCTTCCCTCCGAGAACGTTTACTTTCTTCCGTGATTAGAAGCCGAGTGCGTTCCGCGTCGCGAGAGAGATTGGGCGGAAAGGACAATGAGATTCCCAATCCGGCGGACGAATCTCGTCGGATAGCTTGACGTTGTCGTTCCGTTTCCTAAAATGGCGAGATTTTTAAATTGCGAGAGCGCGCGAGAGGCCAACGTATTATCTACATCTTCCGTTTTTGATCCGACATGAGAAAAGCATAGCGACAAATGTACCAATTTAAGAGTCGAATTTTCATGAATACAAAAGTTAAAATTATCATTTCAAATACAATGCAAAAAATGGTCTGTGTTTCCCCACTCTGAACTTTTAAATTAAAGTAAGCTTTTTAACTGAATTAATTTCCCGCTCAGAGGAACTATTGACATTGAATTATAAATGTGAATGTGCGAATTCTCTCTCGCTCTCTTTCTCTCATCTTTTGGAAAGAAAGTTTTTTTTTTACGCAATTCACGAGAGTCTCATGTAAATTTGTCAGAAATTTTTTTCTCTGTTGCGCGCATGAATCTCGACTATTCGCTAATATACTGTCATACACCGCGTCCGACCGACACGGTAGGGTCGCGAATACTAAATCATACATTTGAGTTTTATTCAAACACGTTATTGTAAGGCATGGAGTTTTATTTTGCGAGATGCTCAGCCGCGAAGGGAGACTTTACCGCGGCGCGATGCAGGCATAGCTGCCACAGTTTCTACATATTACGGCGCAGTAAAGTTGCACGATGAAAAAAGTTATATTTTTGCGAAAGGGGATTAAGCGCCCGCTCCCTGTAAAATATCTGAAACTTTCGCCGGAAATGCTTTAACCGCTTTATGTTTTTTTTTCTGCGATGCGCAGGTCTGTCTCTCCTAATTGTAAAGATAAACTAATTTCACACACAAAAAGTGTGACAAGAACCATAATTGTAAAAAAATATTATTTTGATATTTTATTATTTTGAATACCATTCATTACCTACTTACTTTCATTATTGATATCGGCACGAAACATTTTCGACGAGAGTCGTGCTGATAATTTTCGATACTTCTGGCGATAGTTTTCGCTTGCTTCGACAAATTTTTATATACGCGAGTGAACCATTTTCAAAAGTTGTTCCGCCTTACAAACATTTTTAAAGCAATTTTTTATTTTTGCCGTCAGCACAACTCGACGGAAATGTGTCGTGCTGATATAATAAAAATAAAAAATGTTTATAAGGCGGAACAACTTTTGAAAATGGTTCACTCGCGTAGAAATTTATCGGAACAAGCGAGAACTATCGAATCGCTAGAAGTATCGAAAATTTATACTTGAATACATTTCATCCTAAAAGATATATTTATTATCCCATTCTCATATTCAAAAAACTAGAATAAAATTAATTAATAATATTATTTTTTTCAAATAAAACAAAATAAATCAATCAAATATTTTTTATACAATAAATTTAAATAGTCATAAAATATTTTTTTAATCAAGATTGAAATTTTGCATCATATTTATAAATATTTTTTGCTCATTTGCCAATTCAATATATATATTTTTAAAGAAGTTTTCCAGACAATAGCTAAAAAATGCGATGGTATCTCGCTCCCTTGCTTCTAAAAATCCTGTCATCCTATAGAAGCGCGACGTGCGAACTTTTCAAGCGCCATTCTCTTCAACGAAGAACCGGCGCTGCCTCGAGAAGTCGACAGCGTCATTTTTCACGTCGCTATCCGCCTTTTTTCACGTCACTTTTCCTTTCCGCGCGGAATTCGTTCCCTTGACTTCGCCGATAGGGTGAAGTAGTCCACGGTTAAACTAATTAAGGCATCTCGGTGCGTGCGGTCGTTTCCGTGCGATGACAAGCGACAATTGTTCCCCCTGGTCACGGTCGCCAGGGCTAATTTAGCGTCGCCGACGGGAAGTTAGGGTCGCGCCACGCTCTTTCCTCTTTTTTTTTTGTTTTTGTTCTCAGACATCTCGAGGTACCCGCGTATCCAGTCCCCGGAGGGTTCCACCCTGTCGATTTGCGGCGACAGTCAGCTCGAGGAGCTCAGCCTGGACGAGGGTCGCTCGTCCCTTCCGGGCACCTCGAGGGACGACAGCAGCGAGCTTAGCTTCTATCGTCGCTTTGTCGAAGATCACGCCGCATGTGTGACGTGTACTAGACGATCCTGCGAGATATTACGTCGTGAAATAACTTCGAGCACCGTGTCACCGGGAGCGCAACGCGAGCGTAGCGTATCGGACGGCAAACTGAAGAAACCGACGTATCGTCCGTATACTATCGAAGAGTATAGGAGCCTATCGGTGCCGAGACCTGATCGATCTCTGGGTCCTGATAAAGATGAGATCCAGATAAAGGTGCGTTCTCACGACAAAGTGGTAGTAGTTTAACATTAGTTTCCTCTTTTTCATCTCACCTTCCGAGATTAGATATTAGTTGAACGATAGAAAAAGAAGATGCAGCGTGAAATAACAAATTAAGCATAACAAAGTAATTTAATAAAAAAAAACATAGTTTTAGCAATATATACAAAAATTAGCAATATATCGATAAAATGTTAATTTTTGCAATTGTATGAGACATAGAATAGGGAAAGTTTATAATATTTTTCTTGATGTATGTTTTGTTATATGTTTATAATTAGAATTTTGACGCCCTTGGTTTGTCGAGACATCAGATTTGTTGAAGCAAGATTCGTAGGTGCGGCACGCAATTCTCATTTCCGAAAACTTATCTGTTGCCCGCGCGTTCGATCAAAGTTTCCGGGACAAGAAAAGTTTCCTCGCTTCGATAATTCACGTTTTCTATATTGCGCTCTCTCTCTCTCTCTCTCTCTCTCGATAATGAGTATAAAAGTATTTTATATTACTGAGGAACGTCATTAAAACTTGGCGTGCCGAGTTCGCTTGTGCTTTTATCGCGGGAATTTATCTTCGCTCCCCCCCCCCCCCGTTTCTTTTATCCTTATCCTTTTATCTCGCTAGATGTTTATTGCTACGTCTTCCCCGTCCGGTGTCCTCGATGTGAGGTAATTACGTTACGGACTGGATCGCGCCGAGAGTACGTACGTTAATAAACAACGTTCTCTTGGTCCGACGAAGTTACACAGTTACGGCATAGGAACGTAACGCCGTGATTCGATTAATGCAGTAATTCGATTAATTCTTCAGCATCATCGATGCTCATCGCCGACCGATGCAGCTCGTTGCGAGTCGTCTCGATTGCAAAGCGCTTCGCAGTCGCACGCAAAGCAGCATATCAGCAAGCAGTTCCGACGATAAAATACCGAGTAAAGCACCCATTTCGTATACCGTTACGGCGAAAGAAAATTCGGTATCGGATAGGACGAAATAATACGGAAATATGGACATAGAGAATTTTTTGGCACGAAGTAGAGAAGGCTCGATTCGCAAAATTGGAACTTTTACCGCGCGATTTTATTTCACGTTCGGACTGGCCTGGCCGATAAGTTGCCACAGTCGGGAAAGGGCTTCTCTTGCCGGAAAAGCGAAGCGAAGAAACTCCGAGTCGTACCGCGAGTACCCGACGATGCAGTTAACCCTTTCGCATTGGGAATACCCGGCACTCCTCCTCCGTAAAGGAGTTGCGTCGACGATGCGCACGGCTTCGCGTAGCTTCAATCTAATAAGCACGCAGCTCTCGTTTCCGGGATCGAGCGCGCCATTTCCGCCCCGCGTCTGCTTCCCTATTTTCTCTCGGCGCGGATACACAATATCAAATTAAGGGCTGCGTACGACAAATTGCAGCCCCGACAATCGCGCGTGACGATGAGCGCGCGTCACGACGACGACGAGTCCTCCTCCTCCTGTCTGCCTGGAGGAGGACGCGCGCGCGCGAACGCGCAAGAAGCGCGCGTCGCAGTTTGTCGCCGAAGCGAAAAATTCAATTCGCGAAGTACTTTAATCCGCTAATTGCGATAATCGCTTCTCCGGCGTGAAAGCCGGATAGTACGTTACACGCGGCGTGTCTCTCGGCACGCGGCAGCAGCGGGGAATTGTCTGGAGGTAAACTGTTGCAGCGAAATTTGAATTATTCCTCGGAAAACCCGTAAAATATTCCTCGCGCGAGTTTTCATGAATACCTCGGCCTCACGTGCATCCTTTCTCCCTATAAAACGTAATTTTTTTCATCAATTTTTGCCGGATGCACGAGATAGAAACATCAGGACCTGATGTTTCTAAAATACACGTAATTTGTGCCTTAGTACCTCAGTGCCTCCGTGCCCCTTTTCAGACTTCCTCTTCTACTCAAAGCTTTCCTACACGCTGCTGCTTTAATATATGCTTTTTATACGACCTGAGAGAGCCCGCTCTCTCTAAGCCGTCAATAACCGCAAGTATTACGTATCGCGCAACTGTATCCGGATATTAATATTTTGCAGAAGGGGATGTCTTTCTTCCGCGTTCCTCCGCAAGTCGGTAATGCAAATTTCGTAAATCAGATATGCAATAAATAAACGGGAGGGGAATGCTGCTTGTCAATGATATCTGCAGATTCGCAAAATGACATTCTAGCAGCTTCGTTCCTTGCAGCCGACGTCCTTCAGGTCGTGACGTCGCGGAATTCGAATCCTCGCACGAGTCTTCCTCGTTCGTTGTGGACCGCCGCGCGGCGGCAGGTGCACGACTCGGGAAAATAGCTGTCGCCCTCGTAGTCGGAGGGAACGCAGTAAATTCCCGCGGTCTTTGAGCGCTCCGGCCCGGCTCGACTTGCGACTTGCGAGGGAGGAGACGGGGAGCGGGCGTTCTGTAAATTTTTCAAGGTGTTTCCGGAGAGTGCGCGCGCGGCCAGCAAAACGCACGGAAAACGAGCTTATGGCGAAGATACTCTTCTTTATATACGCGCCGCGCCAGCAGCAGTCGTCGATCGATGTGTTTGTTCGCTTTGCGGAAAGAGGAAACGGAATTCCGAGTATGTGAACCGTCGCACACTACCCCTCTGTCGTGCCGTTTTCGCGGAAAACAATTTTAGCAGATTGGAAATTAAAATTTCACGCGGTACCGTCGCGGTAGCGCCCGGCCATCCGCCCTCCCCGAGACGTCAGAAACCCTTTCTCTTTAAGCGCGCGCCTCGGAATAAGGGGATGTGCTTCGTTACTGCGGGGGCTCTCCCCCAGCATCGCTTCGAAGCCACAGGCGGAGATGCCGAGTTTGCGGTAAAAAGTTTCGAGGTGCTTCGCCTCCCTTCCTCTCCCGTCCCCGTTGCGGACGAGAAAAGACGAAGATGTCACGCGTCATCTTCCTTCTTTAAGCGCCGCGAGCAACTGGAAAACGAGCTCGATAAAACTCGTTTGCCCATGCATATTTGCCGCATTTGATCACATAAATTATCTCGAGTTATGAAAATTCCTCTTTTTATGAAAATCCATATGTACGCAAATACTTCGTTTTAAATTAATTATAAGAAAGACACCTTTCTGAATTTTTCAAGGTGAGCTTGAATTTTGAAAACCTTGAGTTTTTTATCACGTGTGTTCTTGAAAATTTAAAATTATAAATGAATGTAATACGTTTAGGATATATTGGTGAAAAAGAACATTAACATATAAAAGAGGATCTGTCCATTAAAAAACACGAGATAGTTGATTAAATAAAAATATTTTGTTGAATGAAACTTGTTATTAATAAGTGATGTAGAAATCTAAGTAAATTAAAAATTTGTCATCGACAACAAATGATTTACAATTAGATAAGTTAAGATAAATATTAGATTGGCATCAGGTGGAAATAGTTAAGAAAGCTTAATTCCTCGTTCAACCTAAAGTAAGCTTTAATTCTACAGAATTTAAATTCGTACTTTAATTAGAAAGATTCTTATAAAACCAAGGATAGAGGGAGAGTTCAATTAAACCGTCGCTGATTAAAAATTGACTTTAAATTGATGAAAGAATCCTATCAAACGAAAGAACGGAGTGCGCTCTATGTAAGGTATCGCAAAAGGGCGGCGTCACGCCAATACGTTGTCCGCAATTAGACGCTGTAGAGAATCGCGACACGTAAAGCCGTAAAAAGCTTCAATTGCGCAATCGAACTTCGCCGATACAACGTCCAAGTACAGGCGAACAGGAATTTCCGCTCTAACGGCGAACGCCGTGAAGAAAGAGAAAGAGAGAAAGGGGGAGAGAAAGAGAAAGAGAGCAAGAGAGAGAGAGAGAGAGAGAGAGAGAGAGAGAGAGAGAAGAAAACCAGGCGGGACTTTTATCCAGGTGTTTCTTATAAGCGCGAGCGCTCGTTGTACACTCGCAGGCTATTATCCGGGATTACCGGGCCCGCCCGGGTACGAGAGCAGATAAGTACAGCAATATACGGGAGCAAATTTGTTCCCGACGAAGCCGCCACCGGCATCGCCGTCGCCATCGCCGTCGAGGGGTAGTTTAAATGAAACGCCGGCGAGGTAAAGCCGGACGAGGTGTCCGCGGATGACAGCGGCGGCTAAGGCGTGAGGCCGGCATGTCCATAATTATAGCGACTCCCCGAAAGCTTTGCGTTAATATCGCACCCAGTAATTGCGCGCGGCATTAATTGGCCTCCCGGCGTTAACGTCGAGGTGTCACCGTTGAATATCCAATTGAGGAATATCACCGAATGTTAAAACGGGTTCGTATAAACGGCCATTAATTATAGTAAGCAATTATTTTAATTAGCAATTATACAGCAGATTATATTGTTATTGTTATTGTAAAATTGTATCTATGTAAAATTTAATTTTACCGCTGCGACATATTTAATATAACAGCTATGCTGTTATAATAATATTATTGTCTATGCTAGTAAATAGCATGTAATATTATTTTACTCAACGTTATATTATTGTGATGTATTTATGGTATTTTACGAGTAGACGGTAATAAAAGTGTAGATTCAGCGATCAATCATTCAGTGGTCACTTATCGGTACTCTAAATACCAGAGATGCGACGTGCTCGGTGCATCGCTCGTATTTCATAAAATACGAAAAGTTGTTCGTTCGACTTATCTATTTTTTAAGGGTGGTGCCGTTCGATCCATCGTGACTGATCCGCTCCCTCTGCCAGATGCAATTTCTTCTTGCCTCCCCTTTCCCTTCTGTCCGTCTCTCTTTCGATCGTCACGTTTATCTCTTCTCTCGTTCGCCACTCGGTCCATCCCGCACACTCTCTCTGTATTTCTTTCGGCTGTCCCATCCCGAACCTGCTTGCCGGTTTCTCCGTCATCGACCCCGTTCGACGGCATTTGCATAATCTACTTTGTATCGGATTCGAGTGGGTCGAGTTGGCAGCCCGCGATTTTCGGTACGACCTCGATCGATCGATCTCATTGCGTCTGCAAAGACCGAGTTCCAGCGCGACAGTTTGCAACCAAGATGAGAAACATTTAACTACATCCAGCATCAAATATAGCTCTTTAAATTAAAAATATTTTTCGCTAACATATTTAGTTAATATTGTTTTTGTGTTCACGTGTCACTCAATTTAAAAAATCGCAATTACAAAAATCGTATTTGCGATTTTTGAGATCTTTATAACTTCTGACGTTTAGAAATACTTCCAATAAAAATATTATTTCGGTACTCCAAATGTAAATCTCTGTCTCTGGCAAATCTTTCCAAGCTAGTGCTAAATTGATTAAGTTAATGTTTGATGCTTGTGCATCTAAATTCTAAATATACAAAGAGAAATACTTAATAATTAAAATTTATTTAATATTAAATAAGAGTAAAACTTAAATACTCAATTTGTTAAGTTCATTACTTTTAATTTTAGTGTATTCATATTTCATAATAGCATCCGTCTGATTATCCATATCTTAAGTTTGGTATTACTTGTTAGTAATTTATTTATTAAAATGCATTACGAGTAATGGGAATGTACTGCTTGTGTCGCATAAATGCATGGATGATATATACATACGTATATATCAGTATTACACTCAACTTGGTTGTATGCCGAAAGATATTACCCGTACGTTGTGTTTACTCGCACTTTTGTCGGCGTATGCCTCTTCATGGCAAACAGTAATCTACAACCACATCTGTCCGCAAATTTGCGGGCGCCGGTATACGCGCGCGTGCATACAAGTGCAGACGTATGCGCGCGCGAGTCGAAGGGGCTACCCCCTTGTCGCTAAACTCTCGCAAAAAGTAAATAAAGCCTTTAGTCAGACGTATAGCACCGGCGTGTTTAGCTTGAAAGTTTCACCAGACCAGGCTGGTGATGTTAGTAATAGTAGCTGTAGCGGCTGTACCTACTACTAGTATAGTAGTAGTAGTAGTAGTAGTAGCAGCAGTAGCTTCAGGGGTTGTTTGTTGTTGCAGAGAGAATGGCTGATGCGCCGGAGATCGTACGGGGACTCGGTTAGCGCGCGCAATCGCGAGCAGATACTGCAGCGTACGAGAAGATTCAAGGTACGACGATATGATCCGCGCGTTTGGATGGATTACCGATCGCGGTTTATCGTAGGCATGAGAGGGTAAATCGATAGCTTCGATGTCGTTGCTTCGCCAAACTACACACATCGTTATCTGTCTTACGTTTATACGCGGCTGATCGCGCATTATGTCGCAAAGACGATAGCACAACTATAAGATTTTTATTTAATTGCTTTGAATTCCTGCTTTATGTCTTTTCATTTTCGTACTCTGTCACATAAATTACACGTGATAAACTTGAAAAAGAAAGTACAAGTACTTTGGCAACGCGTATATTAAAGTTAATTTTAAGAGAACGTTATTTTCTATATCCTTCGTGGAGGGGAGGATTTAAAACGTTAAGATATATATTTGTACTATTTGTTGATTTTTTTATTTAATAGAATGATCCGATGAGTTCTAAAGAGGATAATCTCGAAAACGATGATATCGGAAATAGCGTAGCGGACTTTACATAGCTAAGCACCCGTTCACTCGACTTTCACGCGCAAAGTGTCGGACAGATCTTCGATTGCGGTCGCGCGACACACGCCCCGTTAGCGAAGGGTATCTTATCCCACGTCCGATCCGTGGAATACCCGCCTGAGGAATCTGGGCTGCATTATCGGAAACGAAATTCCAGGAAAGTTTTTATCCGTCGTCCAAGCACGCATTGCGCATATCTGAGAATCCGTAATTGCATTTCCGCGGCGCCGTGCCGTGTCGCCTCTTTTCGCGAGTCGCGGCGCGGCGAATCGCTAATCACGATCGAGTTGCGTCTGCAGGCGCTGCAGTTCGGCGGAGTATAATGCCGTAAAAAAATAATGGGCGAGACGGGAGCCGCGGCTCGTGCTTGATAAATTAGCATCGATGGCATTCGGTCCCGTTACGGTCGATATTTAATTGCCAATTAGAGGACGCAAAAGAGGCATTGCTGACGGGTGCTGGCTCGTTTTACCCGGCGCACTCGTGAAAGTCAAGCCTCGTAATGACCGGCCGCAAGATTTATAAACGAAATTAATTACGTACGTACCGCCTCCGCGTTAACAATGCCGGGATCGCATTTTTTCTCTCGGTCTCTTTCTCTCTCTCTCTCTCTCTCTCTCTCTCTCTCTCTCTCTCTCTCTCTCTCTCTCTCTCTCTCTCTCTCTTTCCCCTTTTATCTTCTATCTCATTGCTCGTCCTGTCTTTTCACGATGGCATATCTTGTTCCATCCGTCATTATCCATTCGCTTTCGCTGTCACATCAATTTCTCGTTTAATTTCGCGACACCGTTCTAACGGTTAAATATTAATAACTATTATTCTATTTATTCGCGAGGTCAGAGTTGGGTCACGATAGATAAATGACGTTCTAATTTATTTATCGACAGATCGAAAATAAGCATAAATTTTGCTTTTTATCGCTCGGCATGCTAATCAAGGATAATCGCATATTAAGCAGTCGCATATTAAATACGTATTTTGTTCGAAATTTTATAAAAATATAAAATGCCAAATTAGATTTCCAATGCTTTATAAAAGGTAGATATTGGTACTCGAAACTATTTGTATTTATAATATCTATAAAACTTTTTTTCTCTCCGTTTGCCAATCTCATTTATATTATAGCTCGATATTTTCAATTCATACAGCAACGGCGCCGGTGCGCGGCGATTCCAGTACTCTTATGTATGAAATTTATTATGCATCGAGAGGAAAGAGAACGGCGGAGGGCGGGGAGGGGAGGGGGTGGAAACGTTAGAAGACGCGTTGCGATTCGCAGGATGAAAGATATCGGGAACGCGCCGCGGAGAGTCTCTCGTCGGGACAAAATATTCATAACGGTAGAATGAAATTCTGCCGGGTCTCGGGGAATCCCTCCATTCACGCTCCACTCCCGGGATACAATTCCGAGAATAACTTAGTTTCGTATCGGCCGCGGCTAAGTCAATTGCACTTTGGCAACTTGTATTCAATTATTCCATTTCAACCGGGAATGCGCTCACGACCTGATCTCGCGAGATTACAAAGGTTCGAGCTTAACGATTATTCGCGCGGAACGCGCCGTGCCGCCGTTACCCGCTACGTCTGTTTCCACTTGGCCAACCCAATGCCGGAAGAATCCACTGTATGTACACTACGGCAGCGTGATATTACGTCGTCCATTAAGTTAAGGGTCGATTTATGTTTCAACTTGGCGAATTATAAGAGCAATGGAAATTTTACGTCGCGTTGATCCACGGATAGGCAGCGTTGCGTCACGTTATGCATCAAGGTATCTTTACGAGAGTTTTCACATATTATAAAAATAATGCCCAAATGTTTTACGCTACGTCGATTGCGTAGATAGGCCGACGTAAGTGCGTTTTACGCTACGAATCCGTACAGTTTCCTCATGCAAATATACCGAATCTTGATCAACGCTGCGGAAGCGATTCGCAATATTGTTTTAACATCTGGGAAGCGCCCTTAACGAACGTACGCCGCAACGTTTGTTCGCGAGAATGTTTCTCGCGCTCTAATGACTCTCGCCCGCTAAATTACAATATTTGACGAGACTGGCGAAAAATTTAATTTAATCCGATTTTGACTGCAAACACATTTCGAATTGTTTGAGATTATATTTTCAGTTTTGCGGCAAAAGCTCGACGATTTACATACGATTTACATAAAATGTAAACATCAACAAATTATTATACGGAATATAGTAAAAATCGTAGCATAACCGGCGAGGGTATTGGTGAAAAATAATTCAGCTTTGCAGCACATGTGAAATTCCTACATATAAAATTCTTCCGATAATTTTATCGTGGCTATCTGACATATTACATTACGATTTTCGCATTTTCAATGCACACTATACATGCACTATATGATATATATTTCATTATCTGTAATTATGTATTGCATTCTCTTACCATCTACGTTCCACCACGACGAGTTTCCACTATTCTGACGATTAGGTTCGCATACGAAATGTAAGACGGGATCGCTGTCGAGCTAACAGACGAGCAGTCCGTGTAGAAGTGGCCCGCGCCAAAGTACCGTTATCCGCACGTAAATTCAGTTATACGTACAAAGCTACTGCTGCGAACCGCAACGACCACGAGCGTAGGCAGAAATTGAGGGTATGGGAAGCGAACGCGGGAGGGAATAGGGCGGCTCTACATATACGCGAATAAACCTATGCTACGCCTCTCACAAGGAGAAGTAGCCTCGTGACTCGCATACTACTACGGCAGAAATTTCATTTGTAGTCTGTTTCCTGTACACGAGTACACGATATATACGATACGCATCTCTCATTTAGTCGACCGGTTGACATCGATCTTCGCGTGATACGAAGGAGGGCAGGAGGCAGCGATATTTAGCTATATTTAGGTCCAGTCTCATTCAACTTTAATCACAGTTCAATTTACACTTTTGCTGTTCTTTAATTTCGGAAAAAATAAACGACTTTGGTCGCAGATTAATTTATGCTTTGCCTTGTCAAAGTTTAATTTTGAAATAAATAAACTACCACTGGCGTTAATCACAGTTTCACTTGTACCTTGCCTTTTTAAAATTTTGGATTGGAAAGAAACAAATTACCATCTATTTTAAATAGTAACTCAATTTACGTTTTACCTTTTTTTCTGATTTTGGAAAAGAACGAGGTTGATAAACTTCAATGTATCTAACATCTAAATATTCTAAGTCTCCTATAATAAAAAAAAGATATTATAACTTAATTCAGATTATAAAAAGTATAGTAATTTTTTAAAAACATTTATGTTGTATTATTTATTTTATTTTCCTTTTTATTATTTGATGTCTGTATTCCTCGCGTGGCGCCGATTCGTGCTCTTTCTGAAGTAAAATATGTTTGATCTACGTCATTCCTGCTGGAAAAGACTCGCGAGGTTATCGACGACAGCGCGGAACAAAATGTAAAATCACGGACCGTGAATATCATTTGATTCTTCCGTCTTTTCTTCCTATTTATCCGATCAAAGCGATTCACCCACTCGTCCCGCGAGCACTTATCCCCTTTGTGTTCACAGTCGAGACGCGCCATCGCTCAAAAATGTTTCTTGCCCCCTTTGAAGGATTGGGACGCCGCCGCATCAAAGGTAAATTGAGCCCTTTTGCGACCTCGCTCTCTGATACTCCGGCTGACTTTCCGCCGGAGAATGTCGCGCAATTATTCGCGTATCTCCGTAATGGAGCGGAGAGGCCGTATAGGGGATCGCGAAAACAACAGCGATTCGTAGATCAACGCCGATGGGTAACATCGTCTCGTTTATCGCAGAACTGTGAAAGTTCGAGGATCCTCGAGACGAATAGCGTGACGCAGGAGAGTCTCTTGAAATGTTCTGTCATGTGCCCGAAGGAAAGAATCGCCGCGGACGAAATGTCGCCGCCGTTCCAAAAGAGTGAAACGCTCGAGAAAATGTCGAATTTCGGCTCGTCTCTCGTTTTACGTACGTCCCGCGAGGACCAGTATTTAGAGGCGATGCAACAGCGTCATTTGCAGGAAAAAGAATTGGCGGATCGTCTTATGCGTCAAGCATTAAATGATCGAGACTGCTTCGTATAAGAAAAAAAAAACAGGGCGGCGTAAATGTCTTTCCAAATATAATTTTTTAATGTTCACTTTCGTGACTGATACTATTCTATCTGACCATCTATTTTTATAATTATTTATCGATGTTTTGCTTTTCGTCACATTACCATGTGTTCGTTTGCTATATCTGCTTGTTTACGCCTACTTCACACCCAAGACCATATGCCGATTGATACGTAACTACGAAATATTTAACGCTTTACACAATAAAGTATTTTAAGGGTATTTCTCTTCCGTACATTCCTAGTTAATTTGAATATAGGTTCTTTAAACTATAGGTTATTTAAATTGGCATTGCAGATTAAATCTAACTCACTGTTGTTTCAAGAATAGAATTTACAATATTTTAAGCTAAATTTTTATGACAAAATTATAAAGAATAAAAATAAAGAAATTTGTCCACAAGAAGTTGCCCACAGATAGATTTTATAATTTGTTTTTACCTCAAGTAATTATGTCAAACAAATTACCTTTCGAGTATTATTCCTTTAATGCAATAGTCGCAGCTGGATAATCATCTGTTTAACGCTGCGTGGGATTTTGAGCACATCTCTCATCGCACATCGTATTTTCCAGCGATTTAAATGCAATTTGCCTGCTATCTCCCAATCGAAAGCGCGAAAGTAATACATGAACAGAACCAGAGTGATTCAGCTAACAAGCTATAATAAATTGACCGACATCAATATGATATTTATTAGTAACATATGTATGTGAAACTTGTATACCTGGAATGTATTATACATTCAATAATTTCGTTGCGTATTTTTGGATGATAAATTATTCCTATTAACATAACACCTATTAACTTGACTCACGTGGTATCAGAATAAAGTTGCCACTGTTTTTTTCTTATAAAAAAAACGCATCAAATATGGAACGGGTTAATTTAAAGTCAAGTTGTGAGATATGACACAATTTATCAATAAGTATAGTCATTATTTCATCATTAATCCTGTTTTTAATTATATTGTAATATTATGGACTATTATCGCAGATAGATTGTACATTGGTGATTTGCTAAAATATACTTTATCGAAATTCACGCGCGAGCAATCGTCAAAGAGACGATCGTATTTTTGGATGTTGCATTCTGTGGATGTATATTTCTAAATCTAACTCAAATATTTAGATAATTATTCGTATTATATTACGAGATAATAATAGCCGTAATATGTCAGCGTGTTTAATTTTTACTCAAAAATCGAATGTTGCGCAAAAGTTCAATAGGGAGCAACAAGTATAGCGCTTGCCGCGGCAATAGTCGCTTACGCGTGAAATTGGCCGCGCGATTCGCGAAGCTCGATCGCCACCTTAGATGCGTTCCGTTGTATTCGTACTTCATTTGCGAAACGTCGCGGGTATCGAACGTGTCGTAGTTTCGTGAGGTCCTATTTTTCTGCTGTCGCAACGTGATTAAGTGCCCGTCGTGTGCGATTAATATCGAGCATGTCGTACAGGGTGCCGCGCGGTCGTTGTATTCTAGTGATTAATGCACGCTTAATCGTAATTAACGTATTTTCGCGAACGGATGTTGTGTGAGTGCCACGACAATGGTGAAACAAGAGAGAAGGAGGCCGTGGGGGCATCGAGTGACGGGCGTGACGGCGCGACGGAGCAACCGTGAAGTAAGATTTTCATAATCTATTCCATTATTCTGTGGCGATCGTAGACGACGAGAGCCTGCGCGTCGGCTTTCTGTGTCAAAGACCACCTAGGTTCAAATCCACCTAGAACAATATATGTAATTCTAAATCGATTATGGAAGCGATCATCTTTCGGAAGGCAAAGGCGAATTATCGAGAGTAATACTGCCCGGGAAAGTCTTTTCTTAATAGGCCATTCAGAACTGGCGTTAAAATATGTAGGGTTCATATATTTGCAGGTATATATGTAAAAGAGATCACCTACACATATTCCACATCAAGAAAAATTATTAAAACAATTAGATATGTAACAAATAGATTTTTCTTTGAAAATATAAAACGCTAATGTTTAGAAATCTTTATTTTTCAGAAAAAAAATATTAGAACAATATTTTTATATATTATGTCTAGGTGAAATAAAAATAAGAATTATCTTTAACACTTTTAGATAGGGGAAAGTTATTAAATTACATAATTAAATATTTCTTTTTTCTTAAATATCTGTCCAAAATTAAATATTAGTGCAAGAAAATAGTAGGTATATCTATAGATATTCTTTGAATGTGCATGTGTAAATACGAGAATAAGTAAAAAAGGACATAAAATATTTCTGTCTTAATGCATACTGCACGTAGTTTAATTTTATATATAAAAACGCATTAACAAAATATTAATAACTAATATTTATTCTTATAAAGCACCAATTTTAATATAATTTTTTGTCTATCCAATTGATTGACGAACTGAGTTTTATTGGGGCACCGAACTAAAAAATAATTGTTTACGATAATTACGATAAATTTATAAACATTTGTCTCAACTACGTACTAATATAAACGCGTTAATCCATCTGTTATGTAGGATAAATAAACAATAAGATGATAAGATCCGCTTGCCAAAATAACAATCACACATAGAAACATGAAAAATACGCGGTATTATGCGTATATAATAAATAACTAATGCAAGAGATATGCGAAATCAATGCAAAATTAATGAATAAATTCGTGACAGGCAAGTTAAAATGTTTGATTTTATGATTAATAATGAACAATAATTCCAACCGATATTATTAATCATCCTTAACATAATTTATTGTCAATATGAATTTTAAAACTAATATTTTATTCTTATATATATTATTATATAATTATATAATATATTATTCTTAATAATTTTATTTTTTCTATTTCTTTATTTTTAATCTGTTCCATCTCAAGTTTTTCTTAATTAATTTTATCATAAAGACTTCACCACGAAATATAAAAAAATATAAGATTATAGCTCCATTATAAATTTCGAAATCACAGTATCTTTTTCATAAAAATTAAAATTCTATTATTTATGACTTTTTATTGAAGCATACTATCTGCATTATATGAATCTTCTTTAAAAAAAATTATATTTGTAAAGTAAATGATTGATTATTTGCTCCATTTAAAAATAATTATTTTTGTTAATTATCTTGTTCTGAAGTGTCGTAATATCGATTGTTCGTTTCTGCAAGATGACCAATTTTATTTTCGTGTCGCGATGTCCGAATTTCTTGCAAGTTAACCCGGTCGCGGATTCCGTCAAGAACTTTCACTCACACTTTGTCGCATGAACGTTTATATTGTCGAGACTCGGTTGGCGAGTCGACGAGGTACCCGTAAATAAATTGCGCCCGTACCCAGGAGATTAGTTTGAGGATAAAATATTTAAACTTAATTCCATCCAAATAAATAATTCATTCAATGTTATCCGGCGATTCGTATGCCTGCCATATCGTTACCCCCTTGATGCCGCGTCGAGAATCACTATAGTAATACGTATGAACGTAAATGTGAATACACAACTGCTATTTCCAAAGTCGGGATTGCCCCAATGCGTTATCATTGGAGATTGAAATTTTAACAGCCACGAAAAAAAAGCAGATCTGTCGAACTGATTTATATCACGATCCCTCGCTTTGAAATAAAAAGTTTTTGAAAAAAAATATTACGAGTAATTTATATATTAGTTCTGTTTGACACTCGTTAATTTTTCTCATTTAAATTCACGTTCTTCAAATTTGCTGTGCGTCCTTTTAAATATTTTTTGTAATGTGTGTGTTTTTATGTGCGAACGAACGCGTGTAGTAAATAGTATAGAGTAATATATAAATGTAATCGTTAGTTACTGTAAAACTTGTCCCCACGAGGTTTCGAAATTATTCAAAGTTCTTCTCACCTAGCCGATCGTGTGGAAAAACGATTGCCAAGAACAGCGAGATAGGGCGCCGAAAATGCATTTTTATCGATCACGGCGTTCTAGTCGAGTTAAAGATTCACAAAATCAGCGACCGTAAAATTCGTCCCCACCTTGCTGTAATTGTCCTGAATATATAAACGTGCTACTGTTATTCGGGAAGATGGTTCGGAGCCGCTATGGTCGCGGCTAAATCCGTTATTACGCTTTCATAATCAAGTGCCGTTCCTGAAAAATTCATCGCCCGCAGCCAAAATTATTTCCGCAGATGTCTCGCACAGAAGCGAGACCCCACGTTACTTGTTTCTCATTTCATCGATACTGAAATATTCTATCTAAATATTTTTCTCATTTTATGTCACACTGGCTGTTTTTAATTTTTTGTAACAATTTTATAACGATCGACAAACATAATGATCGGTCAACAAAAAAGTATGCATATATATGTGAGATTTGGTAAAATATACATATAAAAATTTTTTCATTATTTATAATTTTTTTACGCTATAGCCACTTTTAAAGTTATAAATTATATAAAGTAGTTGTATATTATAAGAAACATTGTGTATTCTAGAAGGATAGTTAATTATTTGGTTTTACTTTACGCTGTTGAAAGACTCTCAAGTAAAGACGATTTATAATTCGTATTAGATTTCAGAATAGAACTCTAGTCATAATTTTATATGCTATATTTTAATACATCTCAATATATATATATATATATATATATTTTAATTCTCTAAAACGGTTTTAACATAATATTATAAATATAGAATTCTATGTATCTTAGATTCTGATTATAGATCGTCTAAAGCGGGTTTAAGAGTTCGAACAGTAAAAATCAAATTGACGATTATTGTGTTGAATATTATAAACGTACTTTTGTTCAACTTCCGATTTGAAAGAGAAAAAATATATTTAAATATTTTAATCAAATATATATAATGTTTAATAATATGTATATTTGTTTCCGATAGATTTTTCATTTTTTAAAAATTAATCCTAAATTTATTTTCTATTCTTTCTAAATGCGGTATTCCATTCATACATTTTCAAAATTGTTCAAAATTGAATTGAACAGTCAATAAAAAAGATCGAAGATGTCCGAACTCTTACCCGAAAGTCTCGACAGCTGTCCTGCTCCACTCAACCCCTATCGTGGCGGTGAATCTATAGCGGAACAACAAGAGAACCGCGCGGCGTTACCAACCGTGAGGGTTGATCGATCCACCGGTTGCGCGCGCGCTCGCCGCATGCGCGGAATTAACCCGCCGACACGCCGCGAGTCGCACGCATCCGCGAGCGTGAGAAAGAGAGAGCCGTTGCCGACCGATAACTCGCGACTAGGTTCGGGGATCCGTAAATAAACGCACGAGTCTCTTCCCTTTTTTTTGTTGTTCCTCGAGTTCACCCTGTGACGTGTCGGCGGGAAAGACGCGCGGGCGTGGCTGCGCCGAGGGGTGCGTGCGTGCGAGGTCGTGGTCGTGATCGTGCGAGCGGTCAGCTCGCGTCAGCGTCGTCGACCATAGTACGGACGTACCGAGTCGATGGTAGCATCGACGGGGACGACGGTTGTACGGTGAGCGTCAACCCGGCCCGGCCGACTACGCCATCATCAGGCTGCTACCGCCACCGAGAAGGCAGGAGGTCTCGCGTGCCAGTACACACCAATGGTTCAGGTGAGTAAGCGAGACCATCCTGTGCGAGTTGCGAGGGGGATGCGCGACGGTGCTCCTCGCTGTCCGGGGGCGGAATGGCGCTGGCACGGGGGTGCGCGTCTACCGTCGTGGGGGTTCGTAGTGACGGTTGGAGGAGTGTTGCTCGACTTGCTTGTTGTGTTGTCGCTGTGTGTTGGCGAACATCAGCTGTGTGCCTGATGATGAGCGGACCGGGAGAGATGTCGCCACTCGAGACGTAACCACCCTCACGTGGTGGTAGTGGTGGTGGTGGTGGTGGAAGTACCGGAAGTTTCGGTTGCTCTCTCTTGCTTTTCCCGTTTCAATTTTATCTATTTCCTCCTCCGTTTGATATAGCGTTGCCAAGGGCTAACGTCGCGCTGATTTTTAATTGATGTACCAAGTTCGTGCAATCCATAACGTTGGCAGCTGTGCTGCTCCTTTATTCATAATTCATAACATTGATATACCGCTTTCCTGCGCGCGCGGATATATTCATGATAGATATGTGCACACATGGGCGCATGCGGTGCGTTATTTGTATCCGCTGTCATCGATAGTGGCTAAGATGTCCACCGATAAGTATACGCTTATGAGCTTTTATATATGAGATTTTATAGGAACTTTACCTGTAACTGTAGGAAATTATGTATTGATAAACGATAAAAACGTTATAGCATTATTACCTGATGTTAAATCCATATTTTACTTGTCAGTGATTCCGGCATACATCGTGTACAAATAGATTTTTTAATCAAATAAATGCGGAACGAAATAAAAATTTAAATAAATCTCTACCTGTATACGATTGTGATAAAATCGCATATACCAAATACCATTTTAAACTCTTTTAAATTCCGAGCAGCATTAATTGACGAATCGCTTCATAATCTTTAATTCCCGTAATAAAATCGTACGCCGTATGGAATAGGGCGGGATGCAGGATGATTCTGAGCACAAAGAGTTTTAACACACACACACACACACCAATCTCGTCTCCCAATCGTATAGTTCCAACAGTGTCTAGTTTCTTGCAATCGTGCAACCGCAGGGCTATGAAAATCGCGCTGCATTCAATATAGCTATTAATCCGCGATGACATGAAGCGGTGGTGGAGGGAGGGGAAGAAGGTAGTCTTTGGAGAAAGGGAGAGAAAGGGAGCGAAGTGCGCGGTTTAAATTCTATATAATCAGTTCCGGTTCTATGGCAGAGTCCTTTATGTAAATGGATAATGGTTCTACAGCGGTTGGCTGGGTTCCTAGACGGCGAGTGCGTTGCTACTGCCGAAGGGCAGTTCATTAACTGCCAGATACCAGGTTCGATGAGAGAACTACAATTCGAGAGAGAAAGAGAGGCGGAAAGAGATAGATAGATAGATAGAGAGGGAGGGGGGGAGGGAGATAGGGAGAGCGAGAGAGACGAATGGGTGCGCGCGCGGCGCGGCTTTGAAGTGGTAGGCGCCTCGCGGGCGTCCAGCGCGGAACAACGAGAATTATCTTCTATTTCTCTACGTTCGCTCTTCTCCCTCGGCATCCGTTTATGCCCCATCCATCCCTTGACACGCGCGCATCTATACAAGAAGTACGCTCCGTTGATTGGGACGCTTTAGGCGAGGCAATAATCGTTCCTGGTTACCTGGCCCTATAAAAGCTGTCTTAATGAGTTGACGGCAGACGAGAAGTGTTAATACACAGTGCTTTCGTATTCATTTATTCGTATTCGGCGATGCATGCCGCTCTTGCGACAATTTAATTTTTCTCTTTTTTACGTAATTAAGGATCGCTTCATATCGTAACAATTGGGATTGTACTATATTTATATATCGTGTTTTCGAAACGAGCAATTAACGCTTAAAGATACATCGTTCATTATTGTAGTCTTAATTATTTCCGCGCGTCTAAATCGTTTCTCTTATTCATATCCCGAAAGGCAATCTCTATAAAAAATGCTGCTGATATTTTAATACTGAATTTAATAATTGAGATAACACGTTATTATCTCAATGCAAATTACTTAAAGAAATTTATATAAGTGGCTTTAGATAGAAATTAGTGCCAATTAGTGTGCGCGTGCGTGATTGCGTACGTAATCATCGTAATGTACAAATAGATTATGACGGCAGCTTACCTAATGACTCCCTATCTATATTATCCCCAAATAATCTCTAGCGACGTATAATCATTGTCCGTCTAATGCGTAAACAAAATTTCCCAAACACGCGAGCGGTGATTTTATCCATATTTTATGCTTCCATAAGTCTGTATGTTACATGAATGTCCATGTGGAATCGACGGCGGTTTTTTCCTAATTGCGGATTCATCGCGCGTTAATTCGTCCACTCTGCTACGTTGTCTCGTTAATTATCGGCTCAGCTCATCACTCCGCTTGGCAATTATTAACGAATAAATCTAATAATTAACAACGTTTCATTAACGGTCGCGTCGATATCGACGATTATTTATGTAAACTATTATTATTTATGTTTTAATTGCGGCACGTTTATTATTCTACATCGGATACATCGAAGTCCTTTTTGCGATGAGCCAGTCGATGAGTTTGTAATGGTTTACGCTAATGGTTTTTATGCAAGTACTAACAATAGCAGCGTTAAGTTTGCCATGTTAAATGATAATAATTATTATGCTCGCAAATATTAAGGGAGATTATTATTCATTGTATAACCATTCGTGGCAATGATTAACGCAATTTATGAATTTCCTGTGTTCTATGTATATGAATACGAGTGCACATTCAGCAGGAGAGATTAAAAAGTTTCACGTTTCGCATTGTGTATATATTTTTTTTAATATGTGGTGCAATTTCTCTCACCGATTTCATCTTCTCGTTCTGTTCGCCGATATTCGCCTCATAATTTCGCTGCTGATGCACAATTGATAAAATATTCTGACCATCTCGAAACTTTCCACGTATCTCCACAATGAATAATTGCAATATACGATGCGCAGACGATGCTCAAAATTTTAGGAATCAAAACAGAATGTAGATCAAAATATTTGCAACGTGCAGGCAATGCAAGAGTTTCATCAGGTCAGCTGTTTTGGTCTCGCTAGTGCAAATTCTCAATTTTCGTATAATTTTCAAAAATATCACAGATCATTCTAAAATAAGATCAATGTAATTTCTAAATGCTGTAGGTATTGACAATCAGTTGACGGAAGTGATTTAGAACTACGATGGCCAGGTGCGCCCAGAAATAGAGACGCGTCAAACATTCGTAACACCAGTTTTTCTCATTCGCGTCTCATTACATCACGTCGTCGAATGAGCTGACGAAAATCAGCGCCCGTATAATCCGCCGGATGCTTGATCGGCCAGCCCGGAGCGAAAATATAGAGTACTCGACGTGGATATACCGACCTCGAAACGACCAATTTATTCGCGGTCGAGTTACCCTTCTGTGCCACTGCTCTCGTTGATAGTATCTCCTGCCAACGAGCAGCGTCCGAAATCGTTGGTTCGATCTGAACTATCGACCCCCTCCGTGTATTTCGGGGAATGCGGGGGTGTCCGGTGGAGGATCCTCTTTCTCACCCTCTCGTCCGTCCAATCTCTCGCTCTCTCGCTCGTCAACCTCGTAACTTGTTTGATTTCAATCATTTTCGAGTGTTTTCAATACATTTTCCAAGTGTTTTCGATGCGAGCCTCGCGAGAGCGCGACCAGGTATATTGTTTTATCGTTTCCGACTGTTTTCAATGGGCTCGGATGCGTACCGGATATGCGAATCGAAAACGTTGCATTATAGTGGACGCCGAATACCGACATCGTCCGTCTGAAGTCTCTCGGCGCTCTGGACGAAATATTTTTATTTATTTATTTTTTTTTTCCACGCCGCGCTTCCGTTTTGCACGCTTACAACCGGAGGGGGGAGAGCCCCTCTCCCTCGTTTTTCACAGGATACACGACGCCGATTCTGTATGATAAAGTTCGATTCTTGGAATACGCGCTGCCGCACCGTGCTGGATTTGATGAAGGGCTCTTATTAAAGGGCGAACACGAGTGTTTTCGCATTCCAATCGAATATAATATTTACAGATTTTGAAATAAGAGATATGCGAGAAAATAATTTAATTTTACGCTCGAAAAATTTACGAAAAAAATTTTTTTCCTGTGTATATGTATTGTTATACGTCTGAGAGTATGAATTAAAATATAATCCAGATTGTTCGGCATTATTTAATTTATTTTTTTCCAGAGGTGTATACAGTTGAATTTACCATTTTATTAAACGCAAGTTTGTCGAATTTTTTTTTCCTTGCTTACTAATTAATCAAAACTCGGCATACTTGCTCGGTAATTAAAGGTAATCTAAAGGTAATTATTTCAAGAAAAGTAAATCGGTTTTAATTAGTTTAAATTTGTTCATATCTCTATATCTACAGGGGGTAATTATTAAATTACATTACTAAATATTTCTGTAGGTATACATATGCGAATCTCAAAAAGTGAAAATCTCGATGAAAACCATATTCACAATTTACATTTCACGTTTTTAAAATATCATTCTTTATTCATTACACATATCTAATCCCAGCTGATTTGCCGTGTTAGTGATACATAGTGCTTCGTGCATTAGGTATTCGTCGGACAACTCCAGGTAACGTGATTTACATGCATATCTAAGAAACAGAAAACTCGAAGAAATTGTGTGAAGTTGACCCTCCCCCCACTACTGAAAATTCAGAAACGAACATTACTACTCGATTGGTGGTCGTTTGATAGTATTTGGTAGTCCATTCTCGATGATTGGTCAAAGTTGTAAATAATAATATGAAAAAAGACATACGCGTGTAAAATTAGCCTCTTCTTTCGCAAAATATGACTTTCCAGACTGCGTAAGTAATCATAACTGTAAACATCCGTTGGTACCAAACGTCAGTAAACAACCACCAATCAAGTAGTAATGATCGTTTCTGAATTTTCAGTAGAGGGGGGGGGGCAACTTCACATAGCTACTCGAAGAAATAGGCTTGACTGTCTGTCG